AATTTCTTTTGTCTCGTAGTTTTCGAGAGTTAGTTTGCAGAGACTCAACCTATTAAATCAGTCTTCCTTTCTCGTTACACGGACTAAGTCAAATCAACGGAGAATATAACAACTATAAATTTAGGCGTTAAAGATTTACCAAGTATATCACAAGGTCTCTTTTAAAACGGATCATATACCATTTTATTTGCTTCATTTATAGGGAGGTTTTCAGTTTTCGAGTCATAGGTCATTTTGATTGGATAGCAGCGTCTGAATAGTCTATCAGCTAACCTTATGACTGGGGTATGATCTGGATTTGAACCCCGGTGGGTGTCGTACTTCTGAAGAGTCTCAAAGTTGGACGAAACAGCTGTCCAGTATTCTAGTGCTGGTTTTCCAGTGGCTGTCTAACTGATGTCAGCTCGTAATCTGACCTGTAACCGATCAAATCCTTGTAAAAAAATAGTTGATAATTTCTATCCAGCAGCTGGGAGCACTGGAAAGCTGTTCCATCATACTCTGGGACTCCTCACCAAAGCTACTCTCACCATTTCCTTCTGCTAGCATCCACTTCACCGTGACATGGTGGATCACACTGGTCACCGCTTTCTACTTCAGTTTCAGGAAATCTATCCAATAGCCATCAGTAAGCTGGTGACTGATATTCAGAAGTGGAATTGGTGAGGAAAGCACAACATCATGAGTAGACAAGGTTAGAATTCGTGGGTCACTGAATTCTGGTCCATGCAGTTAAATGGTCGGTAAGCCTGAAAGTAACCTGAAAGTTCCGAATTCAATCCCTGAAGGGGTATTTGGTGCGACCAGTTGAAGAGTCCCTGGATAAGACGAAGCAGCTGTCTATTGATCCCCAGTCTTCAATGATCTCTCTAACTGATGTAGGTTCGTGATGGATTGCGACAGCGTCTTCGGTTTGGCATGTTCACTGTCTAGGAGCCTTTGGTCATGTGGAGTCAGTTACGTCGACTATTGCTCCAAAAACTTTTTATTTTTTTGGTGCCAGTAAATACCACACCCACCAGTATAGCTAAATGAAGGTGTTGCTAAAACCATCAACAGCTCCGTATTTGATTATCACGTTCAAACAGGCCACAAAGCCGGTATTAAAGAATCCTCTTCTATTATTAGTCGGCTGTCGAATAACTTACTAAAAGCCTCTTCATACCGAACATCCCCAACAGCAGAGGCCATTGCGATTCGCTTAATTCAACTGAAGCTGTGAGTGCAAAAGAAAGGTAAGTCCAGCCAATATAACTATCCTGCCCATCTGTTCAACCTATTGAATCATAAATTCTCTATTATTATTACTTCCCTTAATTTATCTGATATCCGATCAGTTTGGTGTTATACTTATATTATGCATATTACCTCTCTCTCTCTCCTACTGAGGCTTTTGAAGTGTAGTCTATCAACACTGCTTATTCAATGTAATTTAAACACAGCATTAATGTTGTTAACAATAATAATATTTCTTTAATTATTATTATTATTATTATGGTGACATAAATGTAGAACTATGGTGGAGTAGAGGTTATCGGAAAGAATATCTTCTCTGCTCATTAATCATTCTTTTAGATTTTTATGAGACGCCTGAATGAATTAAAACATAAGGTGAGTGAGTTTCAATCCTTTACTCTGCATAAAATAAAATACAGGTACTACACATTAATTTGTTAAGTCCAGGTTAGTTGAATCTAATTAGTTGGCGGTGAAAAAAAACTGGCATTCTTTGATGTTACTAAATGGTATTTTTTTATGTACTATGAATTGAGGCAAGTAACCAAGCATAGCCTTATTAAAGAATGTGTAAAACTTGGGCACTGTGGTGGTGGTAGTAAGTAATTCCATATTAGTTTGTTTATTAAATGTATCACACAGTGAAACAGTATTATTATTTACTGGATGACGTTTCGAACACAACAACTCATAATCATATCAGTTATAATCACCAAACTTCGAAACTTGAGTTTTATAGTTTTCTTTGTCCTTTCCTATTTGTCATCATTGGGGTAGTAGAATTTTCCAAATATCTGCCTGGACAGATGTTAAATCATTCCTATTACATGTATTCTCTCTCAGTTGATTCGATAAACAAAGCGTCTGTTATCAATCTTCCCCACCCGCCACCCTCTGACACTAGATTTTAAAACTGTCGTCCTATCCCATCCAGCTTATTGTATAGTTGTGTGTAACTGCATGTATTGAGTGCTATCTACGGCTGAACTGTTCTCTAGATTTCTTATCTTATTCGGGTCAACTAATCCAGGTTTCGCTAGGTTTTTATGTTCGTCTAGTCTGACTGCCCCTGTTCTACTAGTTTGACATATGTATTTGACCTGACAATCATTGCAGAGTATTATATGAACCAAATTGTTTTAACGTATTGGTTCCACAGGAGCCTTCAGCTGACAAAGCTTGTTTCAAATTGAGTTTATGGGTTTGAATGCCAGCCACTTTTATCCCTGCCTTGTTAAGAATTCTGCGTAAGGTTTCCGAGGTTTCTGCCCAGTATGGAATTACCACTGATGATTTAGATCCCTTATTGTTGCGCATATTTGAAATGTATGTCGTCATTAATATTATTTCTATTCATATTATTATTCATATTCAGCCAAATATAGCTTAGTTTTAGCCTCATCATTTAGCTATGTCAGTGTTTGAAATCAGTAGCTAAGACAGTGTGTAATTATGTTGTGGTGAGAACTGGCTGTTAGTCAAAATTGGTGGACAGTAATTTGCGTCAATGTTTATGTCCCAAATATTGGTCGTGAGAAAAATGAGAAGAAAGGCTTTGCGGAGGCGGATACAGTTGACACACAGATGATCTGACATTCAAGAAAAAGCCACAAAGAGATGCAAGGTTAATTTTCTGTGAGAAACAACCATTAATCAGAGGACTGTGTTTTTCTGCTAACAATAATCTATAATGTGTACACAAAAATCTATACATATGTGTTGATTTCCTTGATAAACGATCTGTTGCCTGGCCCTTGTCTTCTTTTGTTACAATGTTCCGTTAAAGAATCTTTAACTAATGCAAGGAAGTTTTCAACGCTGGTAAGGCTCTTCAGATGAATGAAGAAATCAGAAGATACGACAGTCAAATGCTATGAATCTGTTACAGCATGTGCGAGTGTGAACTATTCTAACTTGGTCACACGGACGATAATCATGATCACATGGAGTGGGTAGGTAGGTGGCCATCATGACATCACTTAGAAGATAGAATGATCTCACGCAATGAAAATTTCATCTCTTCTAGGGTCATAATAATGAGATATAACTCAAAAAAAAGTTGCAACAACACAATGCTACATGTCTATAATCAACGTAGTTAAAGATAAGAAGGTCTTCTATGAATGACTACAAGCAGCAATGGACAAGACCCCAGCCTGATGAAGATATCAAAAATTCTAATGGATGATATGAATTCTAAGCCAAACTGAGTTCAGAAAACACAGGTAAAGAATTACCCATAATTCCTCAGTGAAACGAATAAAAAGAGAGAACTCTTTCCAGACTTCTCCACGTTCAGTAGTTCGGCAGTTGAAGTTAGCGGATATAAGAACAAGGATATACACAAGGCGACATGGGTTTCACCGGAAGCACACACCGAAAATCAGATAAAAGGCTCACCTCATCCTGCTAAACATAAAGTTCAGAAGGGGAGAAATTTTAGACTTACATGAATGTCTAATGCAAAGACCCTTTAAGATTAAGTCCCCAAAGAAACTGGAGATATACCACAATCCAGGTGTAACACTAAGAAGCTGAAGGAAGACATCTACAAACTAGTCAATAGGAAAAGTAAACGGGATTACGCAACATCACACAAGAAGTCTGAGAGGAAATACACTTAAACTCTCTGAAAGCCATGCAGAGGAAAATTCTGGTTAGATATTTTAGACGGCAAGAAGAAGTAGGATGAAAAATGGCTTTCTAAGGACATCTGGAAGATGATGAAGCAGAGGGAGAACCAACGAACCGATGTACAAATAAAGCAGAAGCTAAGTGAAACTCACGTACCAGAGAAGGAAGGAATGAAGAAGAGTGCTAGGAAATAAAGGAGACGAAATAATGACACACTGGCTAATGAAGAAGAGGTTAGAGAGACTCTACAACACTACATCAGGAAGAGATAAACTCAGACGATGTCAGTGAAAGATACTGAAGGAAAATCAATCACGAGAGAGGTGAAACAAACAAGGCGCTTGAGTGATTACTTCAAAAGACTCTTGAATCGACTACCATTCGGAAATATAACCAGCAACTGCAGAAATCTCAATGAATACAGATCCTTTGAGAAAAGAGGAAGTCTTAACTGCTACAAAGTTAATGAAAGCTGGGAAGTATCACTAAAAACTGACCGAGAGACCTCATTCGACTTACTCATGCTACTGTTGGAGAAGGTTTGGACGGAAAGTAAGGTACTTACGGTTTGTCAGAAAGACTACCTTGTCATGTTGTAAAGAAGTACGACTTAATTGTGTGCGGTAATTCGCAAAGGATTATGGTCCTGTCACACATACACAGATTATTACCTTCATAATCATGAAAAGAGTGAGAGATACCCTGGATAGAAGATCTCGTCTGGAGTAGGCTGGAACAGGATATTATAGCTTAATTTCAAAATATTTACATACACAATTATATAATAACCGTTTTTACCTAGTAGTGTCACAATTAGATAATATTTCAATACGCGAAAGTTATTAACTCTATGCGTTGGTGGCACAGTGGTTAGGACGCTCGCACATGGTCCGGGGTTCGATCCTCGGTCGACGCACCTCTTTACCTCGCGAAATCAGAAATAAAGGTGGTAAAGTGGAAACATTGGGCATGGGGCTAGCAACTCTATGCAGTAAAAATAAACACTGTTACAGAGAAACTTCAAGCCTTCAGGTTGAAGCCCTATTATCCACTGGGAAAGTGAAGGAATATGACAAATGCAAAAAGTTATTACTTTATATAAGTTAGGCAATTCACCGGATTTCACTTACGTAATTGTCCCAAAGTTAGAAAATGCTGCTAACAGTGTCTCATCTTGCACTTCAGGCGATAAGTCACCAACAAATATATGGAATGAATCTAAAATAAATTAAGAATAAGACAGTAATGTTAATGAAATGTAATACAATACAGGTTCAAATTACTTTTCTTCGTTACAAACAGTAAACAATACTTCAATAAAAGCCATCCAGATAATGTTAGAAACACTCCTCTCGGTTGTGTTCAACGTTTGCAACACATAAATGGATTTTCATTTAATTAGATTTCCAAACAGTCAAGTCACTCTTGGCTTTGACTTTACTCTTTCTGTGTTATACTTGACAGGAACTGAGCTTTAGCATGTTTAGCATCCTACCAGACATATTTGTATTGTCAGTTCATAGCCATTTTTTTTTAACGAAACGCATTCGGAGTACATAAGTGCAATTCACATTCAACGACATTATTTACAGACAACAAGATGGGATCGCAATGGGATCTCCACTGGGCCCATTACTAGCAGACTGCTTCATGGCAAGCCTCGAGAATGGCCCACTCAAATCAACCATCGACAATTTCCAGTTGTACGTTAGATATGTTGACGACATCTTTATCATCTGTGATGACGGTCACGATCTCAATCAACTACTGCAAATATTCAACAAATGCCATCCAGCCACAAATTTCACTTTGGAAACTGAAAATGAATCTAAAATCCCTTTTCTTGATGTCGAGCTTACAAGGAGAGATGACGGAACTTTAAGAAGGTCAATCTATAGGAAACCGACTTGGAACGGACAATTAACAAGTTTCTACAGCTGGGTACCAATCAGTCGGAAAAGAAACCTAATTAAATCCCTTGCCACTCGCGTCAGACGCATCTGCAGCTCCGACACCATGGAAGAAGAACTAAACTTCCTGAAAGAAATCTTCATACAAAATGGCTACCCACCAAGATTTGTAGAGAAAAACATCAAACAGAAAAACCAAAAGCAAGAGACACTATCCGTGCCGAAAAAGATACTTTATATGAACCTAGACTTCAAAGGAGACCTATTTAGTGACGTCCTCAGAAGGAGAATTTCCACCTCTTTAGGAAGAACTTTCCCTGCGGCAACACTAAGAATAGTGTTCTCCAGTCGCCCGCTGATCTGCAGAAACCCAAAGGACAAGATTCCGCACATGACCACTTCTATGTGTATATATCAGTTCACCTGTTGCTGTGGAGCCAGGTACATCGGTCGTTCAACGCGCATCCTGTCTAAAAGGGTAAAAGAACACTATCCAGCGTGGCTACAGAAAGGAAATAATGGCCATATAAGGAGTGCAATAATCGAACATCTCGTCAATACTGGTCATTCCATCTCAACGAACGCCTCCTTCAAAGTAATCTACAAAGTGAAGAACAACCTTCCAAAGACAGTACGATTCCGTCTTCTTTGCATCGCAGAAGCCCTAGCCATCCAGTTGGAGGAACCAGAACTATGCATACAAAAGAAAATTATCCAACCACTTTTACTCGCATGGTAACTACTCCTTTGATTTGACCTAACTTTTCTTTGTTTGTTTGATTTGACCTTACTTCTGTTTGTATGCTTATTTTTCTAACTTAAAACCCTTGTGTAATTCTGTATATTATTTTGTTTCCATGTACACCCTTTGAGCACAACTCATTCATCAAACTATTCATGCCATTACGTAACTCTTATTTAACAATCATTTATGACAACTCATCACTTTTGTTGCTATCCTCTTATCAACATCCAATTCATCTGAACCTACTAATTGTATTTTCGTTTGACAAATTTAATGTATACACACACACACACAAAATAACCATATATATTTGCGATTGTACAGCTATGAAAATGAATTCGCCGAAAAGAGACTCTTCGCTGAACTACTTGTCTTCTGTCTACATAAGTTTAGTCATAATTCAGAAAGCTATACTTAGGATTTCATGTGATATATAAAAATAAATATATATTTGTATGCATTCAAACAGCATGGTTAATTTAATCGAATTTTAGATTTTCCCGTCGATTGATTGGACCAAAGTGCTCGGTCTCAGGTTGACATGTCTGTTGGCTTCTTGTGCAGATGCTTCGACGATGTCTGGGCATTTAATTAGAATTTAATCCTGGATTCCACTGCTAGTCATCATCCACCAATTAAATTCCAAATAAATGCCCAGACATCGTCGAAGCATCTGCACAAGAAGCCAACAGACATGTCAACCTGAGACCGAGCACTTTGGTCCAATCAATCGACGGGAAAATCCAAAATTCAATTAAATTAACATGACCTGTTGAACAAGAGGTGGCTCTCGTGGCCCAAGTGTTCTAGTGGATAACGCTTTGGCGTTTGAAACTATAGGCACTGGGTTCTAGCCTCGGTGGGAACATCATCACTCACCGGGAAATGTATGTGCATCCAGTCGACGAGTTCCAACCAGGATGAAATGCGCATCCTGTATTCCACTGCTAGTCACCATCCCTCAATTATAAGCACGGTAAGTTATAATTAGGGCAATTCTTCCTCTGCCTTGCTTATTGAAGTCCGTATCTTTCAAGGCGCTGTTCTGTCTCCTTTTTTTCTTTCTTCTAACACGACTTGTCTACCGACATCAGTCAGTAGTCTCAGATAAATGATCTTAAGTTAAATCTCTTCACTTCTAAGCATAAACGTGATCCGTACAAACTCGTTCGTTAACTCCTTCATCTTGCTTACTGTTGTTTATTGCTACCTCACTCCTTGGTAATAAAGGTTTTCAGTAGGGCAAGTGGTATGCCAATAAAACACCGCCTTAGTATTATTGTAGTCGATGGACATCTGAACTCATGCTAGAGGTTGGTAAAAGCCATATTACGTGACTCTCGAAATCCTCTTTGTTGCATAGCTCTCCCTTTCTATCTCATCAAAAGGTAGAATTAGAAGTCATTACAAAAAAGAATTATATGCTCTCACAAATGAATACAAAACTTACCGATACCGTCCCTATAAAGGCCATATTCTGAGACGGAGAGAGTGTTAAGCGTGAAACTTATGACTTCCTATGGAATTAGCAACATAAACGGCTCTTTGATCTTTGCCTATTTTTGTAATTTATATTGGTGACACTATGCTTTATTGTTTTTGTCATTTTATGCTTTTTTCTTCTATCGTTTGACTTTATTGTTAGTAATAATAGCTAAAAAGTTGCTCATATCAATTCTATTTATTTTTTACGTATACCATGAAATTGGTTTTTTGTTAAGTGAATTAAATGTAATATTACGCTAAACGCAGAGAATTCCGTACTGCACCAAAAGTACTGTTTTGGAATAAAGCATATAATAATAATAATAATTATTGTTATTATTCAGAAATGAAGTGGTTTCATAGTTTGCAAATAAATCAAGTTATACAATCACTACGTTGTAAATAAGCTGGTGCACATCATCCAAAGTGTGGATAAAGCCCTTTTAAAAGGACATATCAAAAGTTTTTCCGACTATGTATAATTTCATAGCTGGTAAGACCATGCAGTATATATATATATATATATATATATATATATATATATATATATACATCTGGAAATCTTCATCACTCAGCCAGCATCAACAACAAAATTCCGTCGGATTTTCAATACAAACAACGTCAAGTCAGTCAGTTCTTCTATACGGATCAGAAACTTGGCGGCCGGGTCACAAAGAATATTTCCAACAGCCTGTTGAAGACCAGACCTTTATCAACAACAACTGTCTCAGCTGGATCTATACTAAAGATCAGATGGCCGGGCCGGGCCGGAAACAATCACCAACAAGAAACTATGGGAACGAACAAACAAAACAAGAACCAATCGCCAGCCAACTAATATGCAGGAGAAAGTGGAGATGGATGGATTGGACACTCGCTCGCTGAGGAGGCCGCCACTGGGTGACATCACGTGCGCGTCAGGCCATTGCTCGAGTGGAACCAGGCTGAAGGGGAAGCACGCGGTAAGTGAGACGTCAGTGCAAGGGTGACATGGTGGAAATGGTGTGAAGAGGAGTTGGTTGAAAGAGTATGGACTAACATGGATGGATGGATGGAGGTGAAAAGTACAGCAGAAGGAAGATAGAAGTGGCAAGTGGAGACGTGGAGTTGAAGCCCTATGTTCCACTAGGAACCCAAGGGAACAATAATAATATATATATATACCTTCGTAATGGAAAGATACATGTATATACTCACTGTCTAGGAAACCAATGAACGCGTCGACTCGTTTATCTGATAATCCTTTCATCTGTCAACTACAATAGTATGGAGGTGTCTTAGTGGAACATCACCTGCCTTACTATAAAAACCTTTAATAGCCTATGGGATTTGACAAAGTTGTTTCTGAGTAACCCAGGAAAAACTAAAGGGTAAGTAAGCAATAACCAACAAAAGGTAGGATTAAAGGGTTAACAAAGTGTAAAAGCATAAGCTAAATGACACCTGTTTGTTTTAACGTCTTTAATGTAGAAAGTCAGACAAAAAATCCTCCTAGAAATCATCAAGATATGAGATGACCAGAAGCAGTCAGGTTAAAGAAATATTCCAAGGTATTTAATGATTGATTTTATTTCTACTTCAAAGACTAATGTTCTACAAGCATGATCTGAACGAAACAATTCGTGTGGATCATATTTTTTAAATTGTGAGTGAAGTTAACTGTCTGACATTTGGAGGGATTCAGCGTAAGACCACTTAACTGAGACCATTAAGGGGATGCCTCAGAAAGCAGTTTTTGAAGTTCAATATTTTAGAAGACGTTAAACGTATAATACAGCTCTCTAGTGGCTTTTACAAATGCCCCATTCGTGCTCTGCATACTTTATTTCGCATTATCTATCTTCTCTGCAATTGATTCAAATATATTTAAAAAACTTGGAGACAAAAAATACTTACTGCTATAAATGATCAAATAATCATTTTTCTTTTTAAAAGCTCTCCTATATTAATGGAGGTAATATCTAGGAGACTAACTTTTATTGTTTTTATTATTATCATTATCTTTGATTAACTTCGATAGATAGCTGTTTTACTTTAGACTAATAAAAATGATAATTTACACAAGGTTGGTTGGTTGG